CCAGACTAATAAATCTACTGAAAATACTCCTAATCAGATATGAGTTTGGTGAAACTAGATCCATAAAGGTCAAAAATCCAATTAAAATTCGATATAGCCAGCCCAATTGTGTTTGCAAAATGGCAAGTTTATAACATGTCATGGAAATATTAGTTAAAAATCAGAAAAAGGTATTATTTTGGACTGGCTTCCTAATGAGAATGGTGAGATTTAGATTTATTGAATATCATAAAGCAGGAAAGTGTGTTTTAGAGTCAAGCTGAGAAACCCATTGTGTAGGGATCCCTTAATTCATCTCTTCATGTGGGCACTAGTTTTTTTATGGTGAATGTGTCTGACAAATGACCTTGTACTCTTTGGAAGTTTAAATGATAGTTGACTCTGGAACATTCCGTTCCTGATGACCCAACACCTTGCCATTAGGTGTCCACAGATATTCAGCTGACGCTGTTCTATTAAGGTCTCTAGCAAATGGGGTTTGAACTCAGGCTCTAGTTCCAAAGCCCAGGGCTCTAACCAATGCTCTCTCGTCTGTATTGCTGTAGAGTTGGTATCACTAACATGCTTGCTGTATGGGGGTGTCGGGGTGGGGCCTCTAACAGAACCACTAGCCATCTCTGCCTATGATTCATTAACTTTATTCCTGAATCAAATCAAGGCACAGTTAAACTCATTATCTGGATTGCATTGTTCTAACTTTCTGTTAAAAGGCCATCATATGTCAATGGCATAATTTCGTCCACTTTGATTGGTTTTTAAATATTAGAGGTAAAATTCTGATAAATTAAATTGCTTATAAGGCATTTATATATATATTTTTATAAATTACCTATTATGGCATAGTTTACTGTGTTCTTAAATGTTCCTCATGTAAAAGATTGTGAGTTTTATTTCTTTTAGAGTAAAATTCATACGTCTTTCTTAGATAACTGGTATGTCTCTTAAATCAGATGGGAGTTATCTCATCTAATAGTTCTACCTCTACCTCTACGTCTTCCACCTTCTTTCTTGTTTATTTTAATGTTTTATTTTGGCTGTCAGATTACTCAGGGCTAAATTTTGGACTCAGTGTATTAACCTCCTTTATTTTAGGTTTTCCAGTCTAATTACTCACATTTTCCTTTTGGTATTTGACATTTATTCTTTTTTTTACTCATTTTTCAATTCTTAAAAACTATTTTATATACTTTTACTGTGAAGTCTTAAACTTCACATAAGAATATTAAATTATATGTACATTAAATTTAGGCCAATTCAATTTATATATCTTACCATTCCCAATACTGAATCCTGGGGCCACTTCTTACATAGTTTCTGTTATTTCTTAACGAGTCCCCCTGACTCCTGGCACATCCTTCTCACAGCTCATAGTACACTTTTCCTGCATTTCAGATTTCTCTATGGTTTCTTTTTTCTCACTAAAATAAATGTTCTCTGATTGACTCGTTACATAACATGTTCATTAATATAGACTCAGACTAAATTTCTAGACATTTCTCCCTGTAGTCTTCCTTTCAGGAATTTATACTGTAGCCCAACTTGACCTCCTCTGACCAATCCAATTGCTTTAGCCAGAAACTTGAGCATCTAAGACACTCTCCCGCTTTCTTTCTTACTCCCCTGCCCCCATTCAATTCACTCCTTAGAAATCTCATTCCGAATATTCAGTTATCAGTGAGAAGAAAAGTCTAGTTACTGCGGAATTTATAAAATTGCCTCAGGGGAGATTCACATCAATTTTTGTTCCACCAGCATTTCTCAAGTATATAATAAAAAAGTAAAACCCACTTTCGTAGAGTCAATTCCACCTCATAGTGACCCTATGTGTTAAGTGTACAGAAAAACTATTTCACTTACTTGAACTATTTAAATTGGATTTTTGTACTTTGAGCAATGCAATGCATCATTGTTTTCAAAACTTTGAGACTCATAGATGACTAATACACATACTTAGCATCAATTTGAAGTTATAAAAGCATAGCTAATGGAATGAAACACAGATGCTGCAGTAAGATGAACCTGGTTTCTATCAATTGCTAACTATTTGACTTTGGACATACAATTTAACCTTTTATTTTTGTTTGTGTGTACATGTCATATGCCTACATCAAAGGGTTATTGCGATGATAGCATAAAATCATATTGTAAACCATGTAACAGAGTGCCTGAAAAACAATAAGAACTTAGTAAATTGGAATCATAATTATGATTATTCCCTCAAATGGAGTCTTCAAGTAGTTTAGGATAAACATCATACTCCACTGAGAGGCAGATCTTGTAAGGACATTATTTCCAGCTGAAAGTTCACTCTGTATATATACTTGAAATTAGGTTACTGAACACTCAATTCCAGTAAATGAAACCAAAGCCAATGTATCTTTGCTTTTCTTTATTACTAGCTAAGCCTGCAGCACTAGCCTGTATTTTGTGAACTTCTCTGCATGAGTTTAAATGACATAATGAAGGCAAACGAATTTAAATGAAGGTGAGAGAAAGTAAAAAATTTCTTTAAATATTAGATTCTTGTGTTTACAGAAAGATCCACGGTGAGATTTTAAAATTGGGAGATATTTGGCAATAATACAGCCCAGTCTTTATTTCAGATGATGGCACCAATGACCAAAAGGATACATTTCTCAAATCATGTGGCCATTTCTCAGCAGACCTGGATTATAATCCAGGCTTTCTGACTCCTTAAGATCACTTCTTCTGAGCCTAGGTCAGCTTGTTTAAAGAAATGTTATCAGAGAAATAACATGTGAATCGGTCCCGGTATCAAGGTCTTCCAAATGCCTGAGATAGAATTCTGTTTACAAAAATTGGTTCTTGGTACACAGTATCTCTTTTTAACAGTAACATTGGCATTAATGGTGAGGCAGGAGGAACCAAGCACCCTCCCTGGCCAAAAGCGTGGTGAACATTAACACTGTTCAGGTGACTGCTAGAATTGCATTGAGCTGCCCTGAGGGGGCACAAATGGGGTGCAAGCGGCAGACGAGAACAACAGAGAAGCTCTTCCATATGGTAAGTGTCTTAGTTACGGAGTCTCATGCTACCATACCAGAACAACTACAAATGGATGCCTAGCAAACAAACACGGATTCTCTCACTATTTAAGGAGTTGAGAAAACCAAATTCAGGGTGCTAGCTCTAGGGGATGCCTTTCTCTCTGTTCTGGCTCCTTTCAACAACTGTGTGTCTGGCATCCCTATCTGTGTTGGCTCTCTCTAGGTCTAGCAGGTTCTCAGCCTAAGGACTGCAGGTCCAAAGGATGAACTGTGCTCCCAATTCTTCTTTGTTGGTGGTAGTTAAGTCCCTCCTTCTATGCTTACCCCTCCCACTCTCCTTATGTCTCTTGTAAGAGAAAAGGTGAGACAAGGTACACCACGGAAACCCCCTTTGTATCTGATTAGGCCTATGACCTGACTCAAGATGTTGTATCCCACCCTAGTTTCCTCACATCAGATTATATCCTGGGAATGAACACATCATTATATAACTTCAAAACCACTAAGAATCATGGCCCAGTCAAGTTGACACATATTTTGTGGGCAGGGACACAATTCAATCCCTGACAGTAAGTGAGAGAAAACTTCTTCCCTCTTAACAATGCAAAATCTATAATGAGATGCTCATTAAAAAAAAAAATCATTTTATTGGGGGATTTTACAACTCTTATCACAATACATACATACATACATACATTGTGTCAAGCATATTTTACATTTGTTTCCATTATCATTCTCAAAACATTTGCTTTCTACTTGAGCCCTTGGTATCAGCTCCTTATTTTTTCTCCTCTCTCCCCCACCCTCCCTCCTTTGCGAACCCTTGATAATTTA